GGGGGGGGGAGGGGTTGGTGTCACAAGTGCCCAGGACTAGCCGCTGGCTGGCTGGCTGGCTGAATCTAAGCGCCGCATTGCAGGGCCGCCAACAGCCAGGTCCAGCCCCTGGCCGCCCGGATCTAAGCGCCGCGCTGCTCAACTTATCTTGGGGGTCGCGACATGATTATAAGGGGGCCGTGGTTGAAAAAAAGATGCACACCACTGATCTAGTTCACTACTTGCATCCCTTCCTTGCTGCCTCTGTATCAGAGGCAGCAGGGGAAAAGGAGCAGGAGCTGGCTTAAAAACTGGTTCCCCTGCTCTGTCTCTCTGGTGTTGCCTGCTCTTTCCCCCCGCCCCGTCCAAGGCTGCAGAGCTTGTCCACAGGGGGCCCAAACTCCCCGTGGACAGGGGCTGCTGCTACCCCATGCTGCTGCCTCTGACACAGTCAGACCTCCCAAGTCACTTCTCTGGCAAAAATGAAGTAAAACCCTGATAGTTCTAATGTAAAAAGCAAAGAGAAGTGTTCTGAAAAAAACCCCAAAAGGGATGACCATTTTCTCTTTTATAACACATTTATACCATAATTAGGAGTGATTAGATTTCATGGAACATCCACTATCAGTCTTCACTGCACATAAGTTTCACTACCATTATGCATAACAAATATATAAAGCAATATTTACCTGGACACTTTACATCCATAAAGTAGGAATTTGGACTTTGCACCAGACGTTTCTTTTTGTGCTTTCTCTTTTCCTCCTCTAGAGATGGATGCACTAGGTCTCTATCCAACTAGATTTAATAACAAAAAAGGTAAGTCATGGTGTAGATGAAAGATTTCCTGTTGACATTATGTTTTGTTCCTCGTTAGTGTATGCATATTAATACACAAATTCCAGTGTATTAAAACTACATTACAACATACGCAAACATTTGTATGTTAGCAATACTATCACTTCCTTTGGAGATGCTTCTTACTGTGATGTTATAAAACATGTACTATTCTGGGACACACACGATTACATAATTCTTGCCAGTGCAATGTCTCATAATATAGAATTAGCTGCATGAATAAATTCATTATTCTTAATTAAAAATGAGATTGATTTCCAGTTCTACCATCTCTTACTTCCTAAAATTTCGCTACCATTAAGACACCCTGATGTCTTTGAAAGCTATTATGTTCCCTCTCAGACTCCTCTTTTCCAGACTAAACAAACCCAATTCTTTCAATCTTTTTTGCAACAGTGTCATATTGTTGACTCATATTTTAGTTTGTGATCTATGACCTCTACCTCCCTCTCTGCAGTACTCCTTCCTAGAGTCACTTCCAATTTTGTCTTGTGAAACGGACTGTTCCCCGCTAAGTGGAGTACTTTGCATTTCACCCTATTGAACTTTACCATATTTACCTCAGATCATTTCTCCAGTTTCTCTACATCCGTGGTCACCAACCAGTAGATCGTGATCTACCGGTAGATCTCAGGGGCTCTAAGAGTAGCTCTTGAGCCCTCTCTGAACTGCACGCCTACACAGTGCATTTACATTAGATTTCCTCATTTGAGGAGCAGCTACTCACCGAGCAACAACACAGGTGAGTAGCTGTGAGGAATGGTGAGAGGTTGGGAGGGCTGAAACCCCCCAGCCAGCTGACTGTGGCTTTCAGCTGAAAGCGGCTGCCCCGCACTCCAGCTGATCAGCGGCTTCTCCTCTGCGCTTGCCCACATGGAGCTTGGTGCCCCCTGGCTGAGCGCCATTGCCAGCTGGCCGGGCAGCCACTTCTCTTCCCTCCAGCCCGGCTGCCCTGCGCTCAGCCCAGGGAGGCTGCGTCTAGCTCCAGATGTGCTGGAGCAAGCTTCCCAGGCTGAGCGCAGGATCACAGATGCCCATCTGATGGACTGTATACGACTAGCAATCTCAGACTACAACCCAGACTTCAAGACACTGGCAGGTACTGTTCAGTCACAAGTGTCACACTGAGACTTTATTATTGGAAGAAAAAATATAGAATTATCAATACTTGATTTTAGATTTACACAATAGCAGAGAACAAAATGTATAATTGTAAATGCTTCATTTGACATTTAAAGAGCATGAATTAAAAACAGACCAACAACTATAAACATGTGATTTTAATTTTATATATTGCATGATTTAAAAATAACTGTTTAACAGAGTGTATAAGGGCTGGGGATAGCAAGTGATGGACAGGAGAATGGAGAGGGCGGGGCTTCAAGGAAGGGGCAGGGCGGTAGATCTTCGCCTGTTCTGAGACTTAAAAAGTGATCTTGGGTGTAAAAAGGTTGGAGACCACTG